GACTGATATGGCAGACAGTGATATTGGACAAGGCGTCTGAGCGCCTGTATCTCACGATGTGATTTTTTATTTTTATTTTTATATTTTTTCATAGTGTAGTTCTAACATAGCCTCAAGTCTATAACGATCAGAACGCGGGCAGGTTGCACAAATCGGGAAGAGACCCCATAGCAGCGAATCGATTGATGAAATAAATACATACTGCTGGCTAAAGAGCTAGAAATGTTGTAGATTTATTCCAACTATCAATGCTGGACACCTCTATGAAAGTAAGATGAGATGTTATTCCTTCATTGATATATACATGTGAATAAGCTGACATTTTGAGCATGGTGTTGAAATTATAGAGACAAACCCTGTTCATTAAGCCGTGTCTTAGCCACAGTAGTCATAAATATAGGTTAATAACTGATACAGGACCTCGATGATTACCCTGAACTCGCATACAATTCAGGGTAAACAAAGACTCCGAATAAGGTATAGAAGTACAATCCTAATGCTATATATCCTGCAAGCTTGGTGTAATTTAACGGATATTTTTAAATCACATAGTAAATGATACTAGCTGGTAGTGGCAGTGGATCCCAACGACTCTCATGCTTATCCTACAGTTAGAATTAATAGTTATAAATGCTTAAATTATCTCCAACTTGTTTGCTTCCGAGTCTTCATTTCGTCTCCCTAGGATGGATCACAGGGTATATCTCCAGCCAGCTTATTTCTTATTACTATATATATAGCTACTTTAAAAGATTAGGTATGGACAGCCCCCTAGAGTAGTTGGGTGTAATGTTACATTTTTCGCCCAACATTAACCCTTACGTTTGCTTTTGCATTCAAGACTCCTACGGGAATTTGCGGTTAGATAGTTGCAGCAATAGCAAGGAAGAGGAAAAAAGAACATGGCGACAGTACAGACAGGTACCCACTACCCGACACCAGAGTAAATGCACCGGTGGTCTATATATCGAAGGATATATCATTGTAATTCTCCCTTCCATAATACCAATTTCATGAAAGCTTTCAATGGGTGTGTGTTTCTTTGAGTCAGCGTCCCTGAACATGTACAGCCCACTCTGCTTAGGTAGCCATCTACAAGCTGTGCATTCTGGAGTGTGTCCTTCACACCTAAATCCTCAAACTTGGGAAAATGGAATAGCTGAACAGATACAAGCAATTAAAGGCAACCGGAGACTCTGCATCACATGGCAATCCTCATATATCGCTCCGAGCTGCTGGATGCGAGGCATCCAGGTTGGGATGGTTTGCTAAAGGAGTTTTCAACGTTTTTGGGGCAAAATAATTGCTTGACCAAATATTTGAGGGAAATGTGGCTGGACCTTTTTGTTGCAAAAGAAGGACAGCATGTTTTCCATACAGCTTACGCATGGCTAAACTCCAGGATGCAGCCCTTAACGTTAACTATTCAACTTACTTGTCTAGTTCCCGGAGATGGCAAGTTTATAGTACGTCATGAGAATATGCCAGGAGAGAAGTTCCAGAACTCCATCACGGAAAGTCTTGATGTTTGGTGAGGGAGGCTAAGTCTGGTCGTTGGATTCCCACCATAACCTTCCATCCACAACCTGGCTTCAAATTGTATCAGATATGCCTCATACACACCGAATATTTTGTCTTTAGAGTTGCTTCCCCAGCCTACTAACTCTCACTCACACGCAAGTAACTTTCTTCCCTTAGTTGCTGTTACAAGCCTAGGGGCTAGAATTTAGGATATATTCTCGGATATTAGCGTGACAAGCCACCTTATACATATATTTTTAAAAGAACTAGTCCAATTTGCTTGTGACGGGGGACAGACTTTACTGGCATTTAAAACTCGCTGTTGAAATGTACTATCTTGGAATATACTTCCTGGCACTGTAAACTGTTTCTCTTCTCAAAAATACTAGAGCATTAATATCCCAAGGGAGGGGTTGTACCAACCAACATCCATAAGCTATCATAAGTAATTTTTGTAAGTGGTAGGAGAGCTCACGATCAGATCTATGCCCTTATCTGATTCTCTAGCGCATCACATCTTGGCACTGCTCTCATTTACCCCCCCCCCAATTCCCCCCCCTCTCCGACATAGTCTGGTTGGCACAGCCCCTCGCAAGAGGTCGTACATGTACCAACCCTCAGTCCCAGAGTATCCTAAACCCTACTCGCTTATTTTTTTCTTAAACTAGTGTGTACCTCGCTGCTCATACCTGGAGTCATCATACCATTATTAGTTTGGTCACTTTATAAGTGGTCACGAAACAACTGACAAACGAAGTGGTAAGTAGCAAGAACACAGCAAGGACTACCGAAGCCTCGCCAAACAATATTGGCAAAGTCACTTGGTCGGTCTTGGGGTTTTGAACCCAAATCATCCGCCCTCTGCCTGAAAACTACCAACCTTCATGCTGGCCTGCCAACTGGTACTTGTCCCCTACTCCTCTTGCGCTGACATCAGTCGGTACAAGCCCCTCAGTCAAGACTGTGCTCAAGCTACGGTTTTTACGGCTCAGAATTCACTCGACGTCCTCTCGCATATATTCAGCACTCGAACACAGCGTCACGAGGGTCCTTATCTATGTCCCTGCAACTTCAATCCATTCAACAGAATCAATCAGTCAAGCGATGTTTCACAGAAATCCTAGTGCAGCTGCTTCGTTTCTCGTTTCAAAACTGACGTCATCAGCAAACACAAGCGAGGCCACGGGCATCCAATATCCCAAACCCAGAGTCACAATGTCCATGCCATACATCAAGCCACCGAAGTGTTACGTCGCTCATGAGCAGAACCCCTTATCAACTAATTTCCAAAAACGCCATATTCAGCCTATATCAAGCGCAACGAACGTAAGTTACCCAAGCAAGTCCTTAACATGAACTAGCCTCTTAACACCTCTGCCCAACTGCTATATAACAAGCAAAACCTTCAATCCAAAACCTATACGCAACCAAGAAACTGACCAATCAATCCCTCAGGGCACGAACCTATAACCTTCAACACCACTAATTCCCTTGCTACCCCTGCCCGCCGGTTCGCCATAATTTCGCCCTATATCTGGCCCATAACGCATCACCGGATATCCGATCATATACCCCACATTTCCGTAGCTTGTTTTCCTCGCACCTAGGATTAGAATTTCCAGTAGGACCATGTTCTTCGTCTCGGTAATCTGATTAAGTTCTGACCTCTTCTTCAGTAAGGCATTCCGGACCCAATCCCCGTGCCACCTTTTGACACATCCATCCTCCGATACAGCGGGCAAGGGTCCCTGAAATTATTACCGCAGGTCTCTTCGAAGCTTTGCTAGCGGTGATGGCGATGCTGGAGGAGAATAATAACCCTTACTAATCGGTATTCGCCTAATTTCAGCCACCTTCTGTTTTGGTTGTTCCACTTTGAAGTTTCTAGTTGAATAAGCTTCAATACTTCAACAGTTGAGCGATATCGTCCATCGTGGTCGTGGTATCACGGTTCTCGATTTGCAAGCCCTCAACGGACCCTCCACCCCAGGCCTACAGCATCCTTTTTAATACCGCATTTTTTTGCACAGCTTGTCTCCAGTCCGGTCAGAGAACGCCCGCAAAAACAAGGGAACCCCACTGATAGTCAATATTGATCCCCTTGGATATCAGCACTTCCCATTTCCCGTCAAAATCAAGAACAAAAGTACCATATTCTACCAGGCTGCACGCACCCGAACTGCGTGCTCCCTTTTTGTGGATATTTCGTATACCGCTGCTGTAAGATGTCCGCTCTCAGAATTTCAACAGCTATTTCTCGAAGGCGTCCCACGAGTCTGCACTCACATAAGTATCTTAAGACTCAAACATACTCGCCAACCAGAAAAGGCTTTTTTTATTTTATCTTTTAAAGTAAAGTCTAACAACTGGCAATCAGCCCGATACATCCCTTTAATTCAGGACAACAGGCGAAACAGATATATTAATCCTCCGCTCACTGGACCACTTAAACCGTGATATTCCTCCCTAAATTGACAAAATGCGGGGCTCCCTGTTGACCTGGGAACAGGAAGAGCAAATACGGACCGAAATTGCTGTGAGCTCGAGCTCGGTCTATATCGGACAATATCGCCGTAAGCTGCTACATACCCCTTCCAAAAATCGGCCATGAGAATGGTGGCAGTCACGTAAGTAGGATGTAGATTCCCATTTGCACTGCACTCGAAGTCGCAACGCTCCGGCCGAAGGTTAAGGTGTAAAACTAGGTAATACCAGTATTGTAATAACCACGTATGACTGTGAGATCAGAAAAGCTTGGAGAGGAGCAGATAGTCTACCTTTGCAAGCACTTGTGGGATTTGGGGTTGCTAGCAGACTTAGACAAAGCTTGAGGTAGGCGGCGTCTGATGGCTTGAGACTGGGAATATTGAAACTACGGGTACGTTATAAAAGAATTCGAGGCACATGTTCCTAGCAGCCGGAGATACAGGAGTATCTGGTAACAGAATATTCGTAAGAATGAGTACTCGTTAGGGTGCTAAGGCAGCGCGGCTAGTACATAGCTTACTGAGTAGAGAACACTATTGGAGCAGGCAGCGTAGATGGTAAGATACGAAGTTGCAATAGTACAGAAGCAGGGTTTACTCAAGTGAACAGTGCAAGTGTGTATTCGCTTACTTGAGTATAGAAATAAAAATCTAGCTGAGTTATGTAGAGGGAGATTTCAGGGTAAGTAGCGTACAGGGATGAATTAACAACCAATCAGGACGCTGGAAAAAGTAACTTTGCAGGTAGAAAATATGCGGACTCATGTAAGGTGACTGCAGGTAAAACATCATGATAGAAGCGAGAAGAATCATGATTTAGATAGGAAAACCTAAACGTAATGCAAGATATCCAGACATAAGAGAAAGGATGGAGGTATTGTCAAGTTCAGGATAACGTAGGGTGTGGTGGATGTGCGTTCCAGCATCTGGCCTAGGCTTTGTACATCTAGAGATGCAACACAAGACTATGCCCTGCAGGTTCTATCATAAATAGGCACAGTGGTCTAATGGTATGACACCTGCTATGTAGTGTCCTGCTGGTATCTGGCAGAGGGCAGTGATCTGGGTTCAATTTCCAGCTGAGCTGTTTTCTTTTTGATATTTTGTAGAGGGAATCTTCTGGTCAGAAATGTGCTTTACGTCGCTACCTCTAAATCTAACTAGACTACTCTGTAAACTAAACCTAACCAGACTACCACACGACTAAATCTCCTCTATCCTCCTGGCTTCTGTGCCAACCAGACTACGTACGACCTTCATGAACTATATTGCATCTACTCTCTGGTTGCACAACTGATCATATGTTGTGTCTCCATTCGGCTAGCTGGTTGTCCTTCGGCCTGGAAGGTGCCTAGCCAGATTATAGTTACCGTGCCTAATGCAGCTACGAAGTCAAGTACAAATACAGCCTGAACCCCACCTAATTCTATCTGGCAGTCTAGGTAAATCTGATCGCCTGAAACAAAAAGAGACAGGCGAGCAGGGGAGTAGTGGGGACAGGAATGGGGAGGGTCTTAAAGTGAGTTACAGGAGAGCCCTAGTCATTCACACACACACAACGCAGGACCGAGAAGGGAAAACTACAAGTGTGGAGACAGTCCTGGATCCTACGGTTGACCGGAATGCAGGTTTTGTGAGATGGGTCCGGAAATAGGAAAGCACGTAGCTTTATCCTGTATTGCCGGAGAGCAGATTGGGTGGGGATGGCGCTCTTAGGAGCAGGCGGACAATAGAGAGCGGTGGCTGCGGAAGAGGAAGAATGGAGGTCATAGTGGATCTCGTTGAGACTCTCGTCACTAACCTTAAGGGGACGGGATCTGGCTGCGGAGGTTTTGGGTGGATGTATTTATTCTTGGTGCCCGACTTCTTATGTCTTTCCTAGACTCGGGAGGTTGGACCAGCTTCTTGTACCTAAAGCTTAGGTCGAATTTTTTAAGGGAGGCTTCGGGACCCCGTCATGACGTTAGGTCGATCGCGGATATAGAATATTAAAAGAAAAAAAAAAAGGTAGACCTGATCAGCGCGAACTTGCTTCGGGATTCGGTTTTGTGCGCATTGGCAAGATCCTACCGACGCGGGATGGCACTGACAATTTGGCGTGAATACAAAACCAACCGAACAAGCAATATTATAATACCCGCTGGATCAAGAGGCCAAACAATTGCCATGCTACGTCACAATGTGCATGGCGGGTAGAGGTGTACATGGTACAACTGTGTTCTCGTGGTACCTGGAAGAATTCAGGGTAAAGTGAAATACCTATTATCCTTTCTATCATCGTGGAATTAGAGCCCTAATCCTTAGGGCTTTAGAATTATTTAACTTGAATTAAACACTTGTATTTGAAAAAGATTGACTTCTTAGAGAGCAATAGACGTGTAATTTAAAGAGAGTAGCACCTAGCTAGGTATGAGCAGCGTCTCGAAGGGAGGAGGTACACACTAGTTAAAAAAAAAAGCGAGTAGGGTTTAGGGTACTGGGACTGAGGGTTGGTACATGTACGATTATGGAAGAGATAATAAGGCCAGCTTGCTTGCGAACCACTCTTAATACTCCCTGAGGGGTGTGACCTACTAGACTAAGTGTGTGGTTCTCTTTTTGTCGGAGAGAGGGGGAGAGAGGAGGGGGGTAAATGAGAGCTGTGCCAAGATATGATGCGCTAGAGAATCAGATAAGAGCTTGGATAGCTCTCCTACCACTTGCAAAAAAACTACTTATGATGGCTTATGTATAATTAATAGTCAGGTTTGTACGACCCCTCCCGTGGGATATTAATGCTCTGGTATCTTTAAGCTAGGAAGTATTTTCCAAGATAGTATATTTCGATTTCAGCGAGTTCTAAATGGCAGTAACTCATGTTCCCCGTCATAAGCAAACTGGACTATAAAATTTATGTATTAGGCGGCCTCTCACGCTACTATTTGACAATAAAGGAGACCCCTATTTCTTCTCTAATCAAGAATTCCTTTTGCTTCTTGTACAGTATTATCCCTTCTTTCTAATTTCTGGGTTTCGGTTGGGTGCGAGTCGATGGTGTGACCGCATGGAAGTACTTATAGGATGAGGAATGATGGTCGACTAGAATAAAGCTTGAAGTGAGATTGGGAATATGGAAAACTACAAGTATACATGCTCCTAGAAGACTCTGGAGGATCTTTGACATACGGCGGTCACCCGAGGGGAGACAGCTGGGAGATCTAGGTGACGAGAGGCGGGGCTTCCATCGGTTCAAGACTGTATTTTACCTGATGAACTACAACCTAAGGTTGAAAGGCAACATAAGATTGTACGCGCATTTTTCTATCATAAAAAGGCACAGTGGTCTAATGGTAAGACTCCTACTATGTAGTTTCCTCCTGGTTTCAGGCAGAGGGTGGGTGATCTGGGTTCAATTCCCAGCTGAGCCATTCTTTTTTTTCTTTCTGGCAAGAATGCTGATAGCGTCACTGCCACTGTTCACACCTAGCTCCGCCAGCCTCGCATCACTCCTTCGCCATTCCCATATACATATAACCTATGGTGCCGCCTCATCAACCACGCCTCCTGTGCCTTTCATAGCCTTCACCAATATTGATTGAGCACCGCCTCACTTACAGCAATCACAACTACCACCCCCAACACCACAACACAAACCCTGCAGCAATCATAGGCTATTCACTTAGTGATTCTTCACAGGGAGCCACATACATATCATTGGAGGTTGTAGCTGTAACCTGCTCCAGCCTGGCACCGCTCCGCGACTACCTCGCATTGAGTTCCAGTTTTAATCCGACAGGATAAGCGATAGGAAATCTTAGTCTCGATACTGGAGGTTTCTTGAAACTAGAGAAGGTGCTGGGCTATGCTCTTGGGCATTAGCAGTTCAGGGCAAATGGATCCACATCCTCCTAAATCACATATACACGCAATATTAAAGCTACACTAGGGAGCCATCCGCAAGCTATCATCTTGAGATAACCCTTGAAGCTAAACTCTCCAATGGCTGAGCCTTTAAACGTATATCTCTGTACTGGAGTATTACTAAGAGATTTAGGGAAAAGCGGTTGAGGTTTTTGTGACAAAAGAGGGACGACAGGTTTTCCGTACCGCCTACGCATGGATACGGCCCTTGAGCTTAGAGCCTGTAGAGTTCTAGAATTCACTCATGACATGTCTATTGAGTCTATACTAGTGCAAATAGCCTCAACCCCAAGAGATTGCCTTCGCTAGGGGCCTAAGAATGTTGTCAAAAGTCAGGAGAGCAACCCAACGCTCAGCATCGGGGTATTGGTTACGCAAGACGGATTGGAATCAAATTCCTCTGACGGCCTATGCCTGGACTCGCACCGATCGCGAGCCCTTTACCTGCTGTATATTACTTAACTAGCCTTTTTCAACTTTCTTTTTTCTTTCACCCCCCCTACGAAACTTAAAGCTTCGGACGGGGACGGTGATAGTGTCCAGCTCGTTATCCACTTCTCCAGACACCGCTCAGAGAGGGTAAAAGCTAATCCCAACGGCCGCTTCCTAATGCGACCTCGACCGACCAATGTGGACGAAAGACGGCAAAGACGAAGAAGTGCGGGACGTAGTAGAAGCTTTCTTCTCCTACCTATTTTACAGTTTAAGATATTCTGGTTACACCATGGCACGCTATGGGATCGCTGTTCAGTTCTATATTCCGGTTGAAGATGGTATAGCCAGACGTAATAAAAGAAACGGGAATATCTATCGGATGGTAATACGCGAAGTGGCTAGTAGAGCGCAGAGTGCACTTAGGCAGTAATGAACGATGCGGGTGAAGTCTTGCTTAATTCTAAACACAAATACAGGTCCGGAGGGTTGACATGGAAATTCAGGGTAAGTCAGTGTGCAGGGATATGTTATTCGGCCAATCAGAAGCAAGAAAATACAGGGATGTCCTGACAACTAGCTGGCAACCGGGTGGCAACCATACAGACGATACTTGCGTATGTGCAAGTGGCGACGGTGCGGATTTAGCTGAATATGGTGGTTCGATGGTGCGATAACACGGGAGTAGCGGATCTGCGTTTTAACAAGACGTAGCAGAAACCTGGGTTTCTGGGTGGCTCACAATACTTGGAGGCACACACATACCTGTATATATGTTCTGGGCCGCTCGCGGGCAATTCATTTAATTACTGAATTTGGTACATAACGAACTTGAATTTCTAACAATATATCTAACTATACCTGTATTAAATATATACAACTAGGCTATCATTGATCCCGGCGCAGGCGGTATCGGCCAGAAGCTGGCCTGGGAGCAGTGGGAACTGTAATAGCTTCATCTAGCTCTAGGTCGATTGGGATCTCCTCCGGGTTATCATCCTACGGGTCATCATCCGGGTTATTATCTGAGCCATCCTCTAGGTAAATTGGGCTATTATCCAATAGTCCAACTTGTGTTCGTTCAGCTGGAGCTGAGAGGTTACTACAGTCATGATCCGTTAGTGCTTTGGTATGACAATAGATGGAACAATATAAGCCATTTTTGTAGCATCGATTGGCACAGGACTCTTTGCAAGTACATGAGACTGAAACTCGAGTTGTTGTAGATGCCTTCCGGGCAGCATTGGCTAAGGTGATTGTGATTTCTCGAGTAGCTGGAGTATCTATAATTTCATCATCTATGCCCATAAGATCTATTGCTGGCTGGAGGTCTGGAACTCTAGTGGGTGCACGGGAGCTTGAAGCTTGACTTGCGGACATATTGAAAATGAATGGTAGAGTCGAAAGGTAAATAAATTGGTAGAAAACCAACAGCAGGTGTTGTGATATATTGATATTGCGATGTATTGATATTGCGGAATGAATAAATCTCACAATTCTGGATTTCTGCTCGGCTTTTAAACTGTGAATACGGTGCTTCACATCACCAAACTGCGCACCCCAGATTAACATCTTATGTCGGACCTATTATCTCACATAAGATCTATCCGGAATTTCACATAAGCACTATCGGACATTTCAAATAAGATCTATCGGACATCTCAAATAAGATCTATCGGGCATCTCACATCAGATTATTTACCAAATTCAGTAATTAAACGAATTGCCCGCGGGAGGCATAGTGTATGCCGCCCG